ACATTTGTTTTCAGAAAAAGTGATTATTAAAATGAAATGCCTAAAAATATTGCTACTATCTAATTGTTTAATTATGGACAAGGCACAAAATTGCTGCATATTCAAAATGATGCATTTTAAATAACATCTGAGTTTTCTTCCACCATGAACTCAGGGATCAGGTAATAACATATTGAACTCATTTCTCACTTCAGTAACTAATTTTCAAAGATGAGTAAACTTAAAAGGAAAGTTCAGAACTAAAGCACATGAATGTAGAAATGAAATAAAGACAAAGCCAATCAGTAGTCTAAAAGTAAAATTCTGATAAGAAAAAGAATGGTGTAACAGACCCACTAAAACTTAGCGATGGCCCCTTCTCCGGGAAACTGTCATACTTCTTGCATCCAAGCAAATGCTGAAGTTTTATATGTAAATACACATATTTAAAATCTCATGTCAAATAATTCTATTGTCTCTATTATTAATGACAGTTCAAAGCAAACACAAAGACATTTATGGTTTGGCTACCTGTAATGCTAAAAGAAGAATACACATCACATTTCTCTATACTTTTTAAAAGCTCATTTTTAACACCCATCAGAATTCTTTATAAATAATTTTACACAAAATATGTTATAACATGCCAAAATAAGCATGGATGACAACCATGTTATAGGTCATTCACCAGTAAGATAAACTTTAGTTCATCCCACCTTTACACATTACAGATCAAAGCAATATTTATTTATAGATGCTGGCACAAGGGAAAATATCCCATCCATTTTCAGTAATGGCTGGGTAGACTGAAACTCTTACGTACATGATTTTAAAAGACATACTCCCAACACTCCCCAAATAACATAATCAGAATAGTGATAGGTTGGAGAAGGCTATTTAAAAGTTTATCCTCTTAATAAATATCTGTCACGTGATTTAATAGATCTCACTTATGTATAAAATATAGTCATCTCTTTTTATGCCACTTAGAAAAAAAAGGAACTTCCCTGATTCATTTTCAGGAAAAATACATGAAAATATTTTTCACTTTTTGGTCTCTTAAAATAGCGACTCAACACCTAGTAAAACTGAAATATGATGCAGTCTACTTATAAGTAGACAACTTCAGTAAGTTTTCAGGGAGCAAACTCACAGATTTACTATATTTTTTTAGATGAATATATAAGGGTACTTCAAAAACTTTGTGGAAAATAGAATTTCAAAACAAGCTTATTTTGATGTTCAAATGAAAACCACATGATTTTTCAAAATAGGCATTCTCCATAAGATTTTTGAAGACCTCTCATATAAGCCAAATTTGTTTTCCTAAATTTGTCCAGTAATCTCTTGTGTAGGGGGAAAAAATCACGAAGTTCCATTTTAAACATGAATTTCACAGAAATGGTACATAGTAGCTTTCTTCCACATGTTGAAATGATTAACGAAAACTTTTGAAATTAATGAAGTGGTATAGACCACAGCAATGAGCAACATCTCTTCTTTTCTTCTTTTAAATAACTTGCAGTTGTTAATAATTATGACCAAAAATGCAAGAATACAATAACGTCAAATTATTTAACATCCTACATGGTACCACTTCTAACTCAAAGGCATGAGCCTGGGGAACAATGCAAAAATGAAGTTTGACACTATTGACTAACTTTTTATGAAATAGTTTTTGATAACTATTGGTGAATATCTTGAGGTTTCCTAAATTTAGCAACATGTAAATACCACCATCTGAATTTAAAACAAACATAAAACACAAACCAAAAAAGCCCCTAGGTGATATCTTTCAAAAGGCTGTTAGGAAAAAAGGAGAGGTCTAAATTCTTTCCCTACCAAGCAGTTGAAGGCAGTGATCAGAGTTTACATGATGGAAGGGGGTGGCAATGAGGATGGTGTTAAAATGGTAATCAGAGCCCTGTACAAGTCAATAAATGTGTCAGAAAGAAGGAATGAAATAAAGGGTTCCACATGGCCACTCAATTTAAATTCTGTTGATAAAAATCTTTGACATTGTTTCCTTCATTGATTATTTTAAAAATTGTCCTTTTGATGTTTCCTACTTTAATTAATAGGAAATGGGGTATGCTCAACACCATATTTTAAATCCTTAATTTTTCTGTCAGATTAAATAACTACTTATATAGTAACTGTGGTCAGGCAATAGTCTAATGGTGTATTTGATATTTCAGGGAGCACAAACAAAATGATTAGATGAAGGCACAATAGTTCTCATGGGCCCACTCAATTCTTCAGATCAAAAAAATGAACTGAGTGTTGTCCAAAATGACAAGTATTCAATGACTCTGCCAATTCTGAGTGACAAAGCTCTTGGTTATTTCTTCTCATGTAGATAATGTTTATATGACCTAGAACTTTTGAAAACCACTGTTTAGAGTCACATTTTCTATTATCATTAATTGATGACACTACCTCCGTTAATAATAATAGCTACATAAAAGGAGCTCAAAGTATAATGGAAAAATTCTTGAACATTTATCAGCTTGATATTAGCTCCAACTATTAGATATTTCTGAGAAAGTTTATAGCTTCTTCTTTAACCTCTAAGTATAAAACTATATAGTAAAATATAAAGTCAAACATAGCTTCTGTTCAATATTTTCAGTTCTTAAATGCTGTGAAGTCACAGTGCAGCCTAAGGTAAAGCATCAAAAAGGAAAGGTTTTTAAATATCTCGCAGGAAATCAAAACACATCAAATATATTCTGACTCTAAAAATATTTTCCCAAGAAACTTTGTTATATTATAAAGCATATGCATTTATAAATATCCATGTACATTCTCATTTTGATTGCACAGACATTTCTACAAGAATGACCGCTCTATTCTACCAGGATTAATCAGCTCAATTATCTGAAAACTAAAAAGTTCAACTTCAATGAAACATGTCTTAAACTAACTCACATTTGCTCCACACTTGAGAAAGTTTCTGTATTTAATCCTCCTAATCTATTTACCTATGGAACATGTAAACTAAATCTACTGCACAGGTTTTACTCAGGCATTGTGATTCAGTTTCTTAGGGCTTTCAAAAAGTGGATGACTATAAGCATTCTAGCTATATAAAAAACACTTGTCATTATGGCTTAATATTTTCCCATTTTTTTCCTGAAAACAAAAATAAATGGCAAGATAATATCAAAATGGAAAAGTAATTTCAGGAAACTAATTTTTCAATAATACTACCATTTTAGATCTAGAACACAGCATTTAGGTGAGTGAAATTAGCATCTCACTAACACTCATTATAACAATGTCTATAGACAGTATATAGTAATAAAATGATCCACTGAGACTTCATGAAAAGTGCTGCCGAATAAACCAAAATCTTGAAAGTATACTGAAATCTCCTTTGAATCTTAACATAGAATCCATTTTTTCATTCAAGTGTACTTTTAACTTCAAATCATTACAGTGATATTCATTACCCAACTTTCATTAACGATTTTCCATATAAAAGACAAAGCAGACAGAAAAACCTCTTTGAGAAGGAATGTGCTTCTGCACTTCTGAGGTATTTGCATGCTCTTCATAATATCACTAAATTACCAGCAGGATCAAAGGGAAACACAAGCAGGATATAGATTTGCACAAAATCATTTTTAAAAAATGAGCCAGGTCTTCACAAACATAAACGCCACTGCATCAAGACTGTAAGTCATTATATTTACTTTACCACAATTTCTTAACTTTGCCAAAATATCCTTCGCATAAAAATTTCCATTACTCAGTCATAGGACAAGAGAAATTCTACTCAACATAATACCTTTAATAAAACTGACTTGAACCACAGTGTCATTTTAAGAAGCCAATTAAATTAGAAATACAAAACTTAAAAAGCAGCCTTGGGACTAACTTTTTTAATAGCCATTACCAAATCCTTATTGGACTGATTACACATGCAAGAAAAGTAACATAAAACTGAAGAAAGGGCACCAACATCACTTCCTGGTTTATGTAAAAACTCATAAAAGTAAAAGGCTCTAATCATTTTACTTTATTAGATTATCTTATATGTAAAATGCTGCTAATCTTCTGTACTTTGATTACCATTATTAATCATTTGACACCATTTTTTTTTCCTAACACATTAAAAAAATGCTAGCCCTAAAAGTCTATTTAAAACAAAATGAACTCAAAATGTTTCTTTGATTGCAAAACTCCATTTACCCCTAATAAAGTAATGGGGAAAAAAATTCTAGCAGGGAATGAGGACCCAACGTTCAACAATGCAACTCGATGTTGGAGACCATCAATTTCACTAGATGTTACACTTTCTATGTATATTTAATGAATTCAATGTCGAAGGGTATCTATAAGTTCTAAAAAGTACTGTGTAGATGACAGTAATTTGCTTCTTGAAACAATCAGCCTAGTGTTATTACGTTGCAAATATTATTCTACTTCAGTTTATAAAGTTGATCACTTTTGACACTCTAAAATACTGCATAACTTACCAGCCATAAAAAAAAGAATCTTTTGATAATAACAGCTGTAATCTATGCTTTATAATGTTGTAAAATAAGAACTAAGGGTCTTAGAAGGAAAATGTCGTAAGTATGTATTCATAAGAAAATAATACTTCACACATACATGGACACGATTCATTTGGAAGCAACGAAGCACTTTGTAGACATTTCAACATACCTGTATAGATGCATATCTTCATCAGCACGGGTTTTGTTTGTAATTATATCTATTGATCCATACATGTGTTAATATTTTCTTATATTGAGCAAATCTAAAATTGCTTTGTTTATCACCTTCCGGCATAAGTACTTTACACTTGCCAGCACTCCCTGGTACCTCCATTTGGGTACCATACCCATTTCACATATCAAAGGTGATTTCCCAAACCAACCAAATCATGTTCTCCCAGACGCATTTAGAGGGGAAAAAAAGTTGCTCGATTATCTGAATTATCATGGTACCTTAGGGCCTACACTCACTCATCCCCAGCCAACCTCGACCCCATTTCCCTTGATGGCACCTACCCCAGTGTCGTCATGGTGACGATGGTATACCAGAAGGCTGCAGGGATGCTGGTGAACTTACTGGCCGAAGACCCCTTCTCTGCGTAGAACATCACTGTAGCAAAGATGATGATGGCCATGGTGAGCGAGAAGAGCAAGAAGCCCAGCTCCGAGGCACAGCTCTTCAGAGTGTAACCTAGAATGCGCAGGCCCTGGGAGTGGCGGGAAAACTTAAAGATCCTGAAGACGCGGAAGACGCGGAGCGTGACGAAGGCTCCACTGACATCCTCATTGTCCGTCATCACCAGCCCAATGTAGTAGGGCAGGATGGCCACCACGTCGATGATGCTCATGACGCTACGCACAAAGCGGTAACGACTGGGTGCCGCGGCCAGGCGCAGCAAGTACTCGACGGTGAAGATCATGACGCAGGCCGTGTCCAGGCAGAAGAAGGCCACCGCATAGCGCTCCCCACAGGGCAGCTCCTTAATGTGACCTGGGCTGGACCCACAGGGCACGGTCTCTACCACGTTGGCGATGACCGAGACGGCGATGAAGAACCCCGTCACGTAGTAGAACACCAGGGCCATGGTGCTGGTGTGCGGGTTCTCGAAGGCGCGCCAGACCCTCTGCCGCGCCGTCATCGTGGGCAGCGCGCTCTCGCAGGTGTTGTCGGTGTCGGCGTCATCCTGCAGGCGCTCGGCGTTCTCCCGCCGGCGGTCCTTGTACTCCTCGTAACAGCAGTCGCCGATGATCTCTGGGATGAGGCCAAAGAAGGCCAGCTCTTCGTCGTAAGCAGAGATGCACTCGTGGCGGGGATAGTGGAGCTTCCCCGTGCGGTAGAAATTCAGGATGTGACGGAAGATGTCTGGGTCACGGTCAAAGAAATACTGCTGAGTCTCTGGGTGGTAGAAGAAGTCCCTCTCGGAGCTGCCCAGCAAGGTGTCTGGGTAGCGCTCCAGGGTGTCCTGCCACGTCTGGAAACGCGTGCCACTCACGTTCAACACGATGAGGGCATCTTGAGTCCTTTTCCTCTCTTGCCTCGGGGGAGCGGGCATGGGCCCGGAGGCCACAGGCATCCACCCAATGGCCGCTGCCCTTGCAAAGGGCAGCCATGCCGCCACGCCTGCTGCCATGGCGCCGGAAGTGGGGCAGGTGGATTCCTAGCGAGGCTGAGTCCAAGTAGCCACAAGGAACCAACTTCCTCAAGTCCAACAAAGTCTGTCTCACTCCTACTCCAAGGTGGGGCTCCGCGGGAAGTCACAGTCCACAGAGGCCAAGTTCCTCTTGAAGACAGGTGCTTGGAATAAGAACCAGGAAACACACACCCGGACAGAACCTGATCACGCCTCTTCCAGCAGGTGGGCCGGGCCGCCCCGCCGCACAGGTGATTTAAGATGCAGCCGCTTCTCCAAACAGGTGTCTCTGATGTCTCCCCCTGACACGATGTGAGACCAGCAGGTGGGGTGTAGGGCAGAGAAGGCAAAGTCAGCCAGTTTTATTCTTCTGAGGAGTCAGGGAACAACCCTTCCACCTTTCCGTTTAGCTTATTCACACCTTCCCTGTCCAAGCAGCCCTTCCCGCCAAAGGACTCTCCAAAAGGCGACCTGTTGTGGCTTTCGAGATGCCCGCACAGCCAGCCGCTGCCCCGCGCCTCTCTCTGGGGGAGTCCGGTCGCCGACTCGACTCCCGCCGGTATTTGCAGAGATGGAGGTGACGTGCCGCGGGCACGGTGCGGGACGTGAATGGAGCGCCTCCTCTCCCCACCCCCTCACGTCTACAAACGCCCTTTGAGTCTGCCACAAGCCGTCGCCCAATCGCCCCTTCCTCCCTCGTGCTCCAAGTTCAGCTCAGGTGCAGGGCGGCAGTCGCAGAGCCCAGGAGCAGGCAGCCGCCGCCGCCTTGGCGGCAGCAGCAGCATCTGCCTGGGCGCCCCACGCGCCTCGCCCGCGGTAGCGACCTGGCAAAGTGCGCGCTGGGGCTGAGTTGCACAGAGACTTTCTCCTCGCCGTGCACCCGGAAAGGGAAAAAAATAAGGGACAGAAGGCAGCTTCGCGAGCAGCCGAATCCGAGGCGCCGAGGGAGCGTCAGTAAAGCTCAAGCGAGCTCTTCTCCCCCTTCCCCCATCCCTCCGCGCCTCCCTCCTCCTTTTCACCTTCCAAAAGCCAGGCGCAGGCGAGCCGAGCAGCAGCAACAAGTTCAAAAGGTGCGGAGGAGGCGAGAACCCAGGGCACTGGCTCCTGCCAACTTACTGCGCGGCCGCTGTCGCCGGGGCCGAGCCGGCGCGGTGCAGGGCTGCGGGGCGCCGGAGCTGCGGGGCTGCCGGGCGGGCGGCGGCGGCGGCGCGGCGGGGCCCGGGCCGGGGCCGGCGCGGGCTCTCGTCCGAGCGCGGAGGCAGGAGGCGCTCGGCAGCGCGGGGGCGCGGGAGGGCTGCTCGATGCTTCCCCGCCCGTGGGTGGTCCTGCATCTCCCCGAGCTCCTCGCGCCGCTCTGCTCGTGCGATCAATAAATGAGGGGGAAATAAATAAATAACGGCGCGCGCGCCCCGCCACGCAGGTTAGGAGAGGCGTCTCCTGCCTTTGCCTCGGCTTGACCTTTCTCCGCCCCCGCCCCCTCGGGCTCCCTCTCGCTCCACCCCAGCCACCCACCAGCCCCGGCGCAAAATGTCACCGAGGGAGAGCATCCAGGTGGATCTGCCGGGGGAGGAGAGCGCGCCTCGGGCGAACAAAGGGAAGCTCCACGCGCTCGGCTGCGGCGCTTTGGTGGAGCCTAGGAGGAAGGGGACCAGTGCCTCGCGGCTGCCTCCCGAGTCCCGGTTCCAGGCGAGCGTGGGAAACGGGGGGGAAACGGGAGCCAAAGACGCCGGCAAGGAGGGCGAGCGGAGCGGAACGCGCACGAATTGGTTGTCTTCTGGGGACGCCGGGGTGGCGAGACCTGCAGAGCCCCGCGGCGGAATTTTTAAGTGCCTTTTCCTCTTTTTCTCGCTCTGTACATGTATATATATTTTTTCAAACCAGATGGTAACGTTGCGGGGGTTCAGAATGTCATCTGTCCAACTTGCTGAAAAGTCAGGCAGGCTCCTCGGTCTGGGTCTCGCCTCAACTCCGATTCTCCTCCTTCGCGAACGACTGCAGGCTTTGGAGACCTTTTCGGAACGTTAGCGCCCAGGGGAGTGCGTCTCCGGGGCTGTGCGCCCCCACCCCCGCACCCCCCGGCTTCCTGTCTGCGGAGCTCTGCGCAAATCTGAAACGGCTAAGGTAGTGACAGGTGTCCGTGTGAGGGGTACATGATGTGCAGGGAGACGGGAAAATTGTCGCGGACAACCGTTTTGTTTTACCAGGAACCCCCCCACCCCCCGTTAGGCATGTTCCTTAAAACCAAACCCATAACGTGCATAACCACTAGATGGCGTGAACGGCGAGAAGTTAAATCGACATCTAAGATGCTTTGGGAAGGTGAAGGAACAGAATTAACTGATCCAAAAACAGAATCGGATCCCATAAACATCCTCAGATGCCCCGCCGCCACACACACACCTTTGTGGTGTTTAGGCGAGATATGCGAGCCAGACTCGAGTCTGCATGGTAGATGAGTGTGGTAGGAGAGGTGGCCCTTCCCGTTGAAATCCCTTTGAAAATTAAGTCTAGGTTACTGAATCATCATTATCACACAATTAAGATCGTTGGGGAGAAGTGAGGCTTCATCTATATGGATTAAGAAGAGGAGCCTAATTCCTACCTGAAAATGACTTCGCATGGCTTGGGTTTGACTGCCCTTGGTTTGCAAAGTAAGAATACTGAGATGTGCTGAACAGAAATCGAGTTCCCAGCCCTCCAGATTATAGGCATTATGTGTGCGCCTGTACTATCTGAAATGGGATAGCCGAAAGGAAATATGTGAACTAAAAAGCAGAATATAGAAAACTGCTACAGAAGGGGAAAAATAAACCTGATAATGCACAGATGTTCTGTGGTGGTGAAAAAGTGGTGCGTGTTGGTTTACAGGTGTAACGGTTTAGGAAATCCTGTTAATGAAGTCGGAGCTACTGCACCGTGTGATTTTGAGGACATGGAATTGACAGCATCTGCTGTTTATCTACTTGTATTAGGTGAAATAAAAGATGCTTGTTAATGACACTATATAGCACGCACACCTGAAAACACACAAACATGTTTCTTGTTTGCCAGTTAACATTAAAGTTAACCCCTTCGTCATCCAGAGAAAACGATGACACGGTGGCAAGGGCTGGGCATGGCACCCAGAGAATGGAGAACTCTGGATATTCACTGAATGTCAGGATGGAGCAAGTAACCTAAAGAGAGCTTTTAAAACTTCCCTTTAGGAAACTAAACTGTTACAAATGTAAAAGTCGGAGTTTAACTCCACAAAGAGCCTCAAATAAGCAAGAAGAGAATATCTACAATTTTCCAGATGAAATTGTGATCTGTTCTCTGACATCCCGTCTTGTTTAAGGGAAAAAACTACGGGCTTGAAACTTCAACACATCTAGGTTCAAATTGCAACCCAAGAAAAATTTTTTACTGATAATTGCTTAATCTGGCCAATTACTAAATTCCAGGGATTAGAAATTATAGATGATAAACCAATTGTTTAGGTTTCTTGTGATGATTAAACTGGATATCAGTGATGTAGGCAGGGAGGCAGCTAGCCCCTGTGAAATGGCCTCACCTGAGTTACAACCCTGACTGCACCACCCAAAACTCCACCTCCTCCCATGCCAGCTGAAGCTGCTGAAGACCTGGCTCCAAGTGCAAATACCCAATACAATCAGGCTGCCTACTGTGTCCCTCCGCCCCCCTCCCCATGACCTTGAGTTCATTATAATAACAAAGCATCAGTAATCATGGCCAACACTCCCACTCCTATCATGCACCTGATATCCTGACACTTCCAAGATTAACACAAAAAAGGACAAGGTGGTAGGTACCCAAGCCTCACCCCAATCTCCACTGTCTTTGAACAATTATGCCTTGCCTCAGACACCACTCCCTAGGCCCCCAAGTCATATGAAAGGATGACCCTGAACTCTCTTCCTCTCTCCCACCCCATCTGGTAAGCACCCCTCCCTGAGTACTTTTGCTTTGCTAATCTTACTCCCCAGCTCACCTTTATCTATGGCTCTTGAATCCCTTCTTGTGCGCAGATAAGAAACTAGACCAAGGCTCGACAGGGCTACCCCATAGTAATAGTACCTCTGAACACCAACTTAGTACTTGGCACATGACTGGCACTCAATGGTAACATGATTCAGGTTAGCCAGCCTTTATGTATTTGGATTCCCACACATACTTTTGTATGTTTACTCTTCCTCTGAATTAAAAAAGTCAACTTGTCCTGTTACACACATGACACTGATATTTTGATATTTATTCACAAGTTGAAATCAATGAAGAATAGGTATACAAAATCAAGCAGGGCACTATAAATGCCTCCCTTGCCCAAGATTTCCTGTTCTTTCCTCTTCTAATTTTATGTAGTCTGCCTGATTGATTACAGGGAAAACAAACTCAGCGAGATTAAAGTTGAACTCTTCACCTCTGTTCTCAATCATCTACTCCTATTCTGATCAGTGAAATTCAAGAGAGAAGCCTAGTGGTCATACCACCTTCAGTATTTCTCCCCAGCAAATGCACAACCTGGACAGTGACCCAGTAAGTCTGTGCATTCCACTGTCATTCCCAATTTATCCTTAAATCGTACCTAGAGTGATTTTCTAACAATGATTTTAGATAATTATAGATTCTCATGCAATTATGAGAAATAACAGCAATTCCTAATACCTATTACCTCACTGTCCCCAAAGATAATAGCTTGCATATTGAAATATAAAATCACAACCAGGGAATGCTCTCTGTTAGTTCCTTCAAACTGCTATAACAAAATACCATAATACTCGGCAGCTTGTAAACAACAGAAATGCATTTCTCATTGCTCCAAACGCTGGGAAATCCAAGATTAAGGAGCTTCAGGTTGAGTCTTTGGTGATAACCTGGTTTTTCTGGTGTATGGATGGCGCCTTCCTGCTTTGTCTCACATGATGGAAAGAGAAGACAGATCACTTGGCCTTTTATTTTTTTAAATAATGTATTTTATTTGAAAGGCAGAGTTACAGAGA